AGGTGAGCTCTGAACGAAAGTTTATGATCACCATTGTCTGCCTGATTTACTAAGAAAATTAAAAGCGGTGAGGTCGATGGGGAGGTCAGAGTCTCTCGAAGAACGTTTACTAGCCCAGTGACAACTTCCTTGAAAATGATCAGATTGAGCCATTATTTGTGCTTTGTCAATTCAGCCTCTCTCAATGACTCTGATTTACAAGTTGTTTGGATGATCAACTGAGAGTTACCTTGGAATAAAGCATAGAGCACGGGAACCATAATCACTACGAGTGCGAGAGCAATTGTATAAGATTTGGCTTGGTGGATTCTATACATATCAGACAGGCAAAAGTGGTAATTTTGTCGCTGACTGAAGATATGTGGTTGGTTGGCGGCTATTCGAATGATTAATCCAATCAGTTAAGGAGGACTTACATTTACCCCTCTTACTCAATTATTATTTAATTAATTTCGTTTATTGTTAATTGTGCCCGCAACTTGGCCTTGACGAAAATCCCAGTTGTGTTTCCGGTCACTCAAAGGATCAAAAAGTGGACTAAGCAACCAAGCTCAGAGAAGTGTTTTGCCTGTTTGTATCGGTCTGTCACGCCTTAAGTAGGTCAGTAGCGAGTTGTAAAGGTAGTGACGCGAGTGTGCTCCCTGATGGGCAAGAAGCAACGCATCCTAAGGGAAATTGTGTATCTATTAGCCAGGTTCTTTATGGATGGTGACTAGTGATTACTCTTGAGTTGCTCCTGATCCCGCGCCGCAGGCAGTGACAGACTGGTTGGGTGGTCGCGCGTAGGAGTGACATATCTGAAAGAGGACAGACATGCTCTGAGACTACTCCAGTATTTAGGAATAGAGTCGGACAAAATCTGTTTGAGGACCCTACTTGGCCGTAACACTGGGGAAATGCACGTTACCTCAACAAGCATGATCTTACTTGATTTTGTCAACACTGTCAAAGTTACGTAGTGGYTTGCCGTGTGAAAACGGATGAGAATATTCCCCGAGTGTTACCTTGTGCGCCAAAAGCTGAATGGGACCCGTTACCAGGTAAATATCAGGCAGCCCAACGCGAACTTAGATAATTTAATATAAGCTCGGACAATTTGGTGTGGAATCAGAAGACCAAGCGGAGTCTCAATTTTCTTACGTTTGGACCTGAAGTGCACTGCCTTTACACAGCAAGCGGTCCAGTCGGTGAGTGGCCAAGCACCGACTCAACAAAAATACAGTGAAATCTGTAAGCTCGTTTTGAGCCTTGCAAAATCGGAAGTTCCACAGGGTTAATCAGCGCTCGACAGAGTAGTCCATGATTCGTTGACCTGTTTAGGCCGTCTCAGTGGTTGTGAACTTGAATAGTGACGGACTTGGACGACCCTCAACGAATCCAAACAGGGGGTCTGACAGGCTGACCGATAGGCTCAGTGAGCTCGATATTTTTCAAGATTCGGTTAATACCAGGTTTGACCAATCACGAGATCAATTCCCTGGAAAAGCGATACTTGGGTTTTAGACAGGTTATGAATTTGGACTCAGTGAACTCGCGTAGACTTAGTGAACTCTGCGCGGACTCAGTGAACCCAGTATAGACTCCGCGAAAATAGCACAAAACCCACGGCTAAACAGTTGGCTGATCACTTGGGTGCCTTAATCGGTGGCTGACTCGCTTTACAGGCTCCAAACCTGAGAACGATTCTCTTTCCTTGAAAGCTGAAATCACTTGAGTAACGGGTGGTATATTCTAATTATTGATGGGCTAGAACATGAAGGGAAATATGAGAAGCAGTGAGGTTCTTGTGATAAAATATAGTTTGAGCAGGGACAAGACAGAAGGGTGGGAAGAAAAGGAATGCCAGGATATTGAATACCATAAACAGGCTCAGCGAGAATTGGCAGTTATAATTGTTGAGGAGGAGAATTACATAGAGTACGTAGCCTACTTTTATGGCCATGATGGCAGGCTGCACAACACCTGTTCCTCTCTAGAAACCGTGGAGCAGGCCAGAGCAAGGCTCATGCGAGCTCGGTGGTACTCGAACTACCAAATAAATGAGACGTTGTAAAAGTCCACAACGAGACGGACACGACTTATTCAACGCCGTTGAAGATACTCGTAGTGAAGAACTCGCTGCGAAGACTCAAGCTCGTCGTGAAAGGGGATCACTGGGAATAGCCAGCCCTTGGTTGAACCCCGACCGTGTCTCCACTCTCCTCGGAATCCATTAACACCTGAATAGCAGAAGTTGCGTTTTTCCCTGCAAGGCGAAGGTACATGGTCTTCTTGATCCGGTGGCCCAATGAATTAGATAGTAATCCAATTATCACTCTCCAATTATCACTCAAACAGACATTCAGGCAGATTATCAGCAGTGTTCAGTTGCAGCCGGCAACCTCAACAGCATTCGTTTCCTTTCTTTTTCTCAGTCCGCAGTTTCCTCAGAGTTCAGTTTCCCAGTCAGCAGTCAACCAGCAATGTTCAGTTCTCATCCAGCAACCAGCAACTGTTGGTAGAATCGACAATCAGAAAAAGTGGCTAGAAACAGTGCTCAAGATAACACCCGGAACAGTACTCGGAACAGTACTCGAGGCAGTACTCGGAACAATACTCGGCACAGACCCAGGAATGGTGTATAATACTCAGATTAATGCCCAGAATATTATGTGGAACTGTACTCAGAAGCGATTTTGGAGCAGTATTTGGTAAAGTGCTCAAGAGCGTGCTCAGAACAGTGCCCAGGACTGTACCCCAGATTGCACTCGGAGCAGTGACAAGAGCGATTCTTAGGACGGTACTTGGGGCTGCATTCAGAGCAGCACTTCTGAGCGGCAATCTCAACAGCAGTTGTCAACTGGCAACCAAACAGCAGGAAACTTAGAGGAGAAATGGGGGATAGTGATACAGTTAAAGTGGCCTGCTCATTGCACAAAGTCTCAACAAGGGGTTGGAGAGAGACGGCAACCGATGACTATAGTTGTCAGACTACCGTCATGATGGAGTAGGCGCTGACACTCGTGAGAAACCATACAAAAATTGAATATACCTACTATCTGTTTAACAAGAGTGGGAGACTGTGTGCAACCATCTCATATGTGGGTTCTGTCGAGGAGACACGGAGATCCATCTGCAGAAACAGGTAAAACGAAACTGCACCGGGCAGGAAGTGAGTAAGATAAGTTTGGATCAGGTTGGAAACTAGTAGCTACCAGAAATACTGTAAACCTGCAGGACGCGAGGATAAATGGCAAACAGTTATGACATGGTAATCACCAACAAATCAGCAATTTAGAAAATATTCAGTATTTGACTTGGCAACCAGTAATCTCACTCGGCAGCAATCTGTTCTCGGTAATCATTTTCCAGCAATCAGTTTTCAGCATTTACTTTCCACCCATCAACCTTCAGCATTAATTTCCAGCATTCAGTCTTCAACATTAGATTTCAGCACTCAGTTCTCAGCATTCAGTTCCAAGCAAACAGTTCTCTACAATCAGTCCGGTAACCAGCTCTTCAGGACCATCTGATCAGCTTGTACTGGCAAGAATACTCATGAGCACAGTTCAGTCTACGCCGGTCAGTGAGTCAGTGCTGGCCAGCCTCAATCGGTTCTCAAGCAAGGAGGCATTCCGTTATCAGTATGTTAGTGCCATTGGTTTTAGACAGGGAGATCTGTCAATCTTCATTGTCCAGACCAGTTTTGCTGACGACACTATCCATGATCTGAGGCCTTATCTGAAGAAGGACAAGGAGGCTCATGAACTTTTCGATCCAGTCTGGATCTCAGCCACTGAATACCTTGAGCAGAGAGAGAAGGAGCTCGATGAGAGTGGCACTACGTTGATCCGCAGCTTCGGGCCGATGCTTTATACTGACTATCCTAGGTCTCATATCCCTTCTCTTCTCACAGATGGCACGAGTAGGCTGGACGTGATCGGTTTGGCAAAGAGTTACATCTCTCCGGCAGTGATCGACATTGAGGCACTGACCGAGCCCACCGAGTACCCTTACCTCAGACGAGGGGTTGTTCAGTGGATGGACTGCCTACTTTGTGAGAGGAGTTTTGCTCCATGGTTAACTACCGTGGCATGTGCCTTGGATGGTCATGCTCAGAGCTTGCTGGCTATAGGTGGCATTTTGTCACGAAGCCGCAGTCTCAGACTGTACGTGGGCGTGGGTCACGGCACCAGAGAAGATCAGTGAAAGAAGAGATTGAGAGAGACTGACCAGAGGGATGAGCGAGGACTCTTGAGAGTTGCCGACCACGCCCGTTTATGTGTACTTTCTGAGATTATTATGAGTTCTAATTCTTTCCTCACTCAATTGCTCCTGTCTTTGCTCGAGTCAGTCAGTCTTATTTTCTGCATTATTCTTGCTTGATGATTGTCTTCGTGGATGTTTTGTCACAGTTCTCAAAATCAGATTGACATAATTGATGCATGCACAACACCCCATAATTTTATGATTATTATTTGCCTAAATTCTCTGCTATTCCGAATCAAAATAAAAGATTCCTAAGACCGGGGACCGACAAAGACCGCAATTGAAGGGTCTCGCTCGAAGCCGGACGCACACAACAGGAAGGGATTTGCATTATTTAATTTATTTTATTTATTGCAATCACATACAAAATCTTGCGTGACAGCCTGTTGGTTTTCCGGTCACTCGAAGTGGCCCGACTGGAAAAAGTGCGACGCCGCCCCAAAACCGGCAGTCTCTCTCTCTCTCTCTCTCTCTCTCTCTCTCTCTCTCTCTCTCTCT